GGGGACTCCTGAACAGCAGGGGCTCCCTCCCAGATCCCAGATTAGGCACAAACCACACCCAAACACTTGTTGTCACAGAGAGATTCTTTATTAAGCAGGAAAGAAAAGTTAAAGTGGATGCTTGCTGACTCAGGCAGAAAAACAGCAGCAAATGACTTTGCAGGTATAATTTTTAAGAGGAGAAAATGGGGAGGTCTGTGTTAGAATGGGCTAGGATGAGGTGGTAAAGGAGATAGGGGACAAGGGAAGAAGGGAAAGGAACAAGGGAAAGGTGACAGGGATATTTGTCCTGTAGGGACAGAGGACTGCCTCTGAATACAGGGGAGACAGATGTGGCACATGGGCAAATGTTGGCTTATAAAGATAAAATGGGATACTCTGTGTTAGGATGAGGTGTTTAATTTTAACTGGGCATGTTCTTTAGGTGAACTACAGGGTGCTGTTGATTGCTGGACTTTGGTAGTCAGCCTCAGGAGGAGGAAGTGGCCAAATAAGAGAATAGTCCTAGGTGAGTAGCTTTAGGAATGTAACCTAGCAGTTTTTAGCAAAGCAGAGGGAATGGGAGAGAAGGGCAAGGCCTGCCAGTGCCATGTGCCAGTGGGCTAGATGCTTCAAGATGGCTTACTGGGGGAAGTACTGGCTGCTCCTTCCAGAGTACTGGTGTCCATGTCAGAAGAACTGCAGTCAGCAATGGAACTTATGGAATACAACCCACCAGATAACAAAGCTATGATGAGTAAATCCTGGAAAGGCAAGGTTCCAGGAGCATTGTTCCCAGAATGCCCCTTCTTCTGCTGTGCCTTCACCTGCTTGCTACTGCTGTGTTCCTGGTTTTTTTTAGGCATGGTGTGATTTCTATGTGAAAGGATCCCACTGTATCTAGTATAGTGTGATTATTTCATGGAAAAATCCCACTCTTCAACATGCAATTTACTTGCAGATCACAATGAAGATGACTTTTATAAGAGCAATGATGCTTACTTGAATCAATGATTTAACTGAACTTTCTGAGTTAGTCTAAGAGATATAAGTGGTTAAGACAGTAAAGATGATTAGGGAAATGATTTAGGTTGCTTTCCAGTTGCTCCAATAAGAGATACAAAAAAAAAAAAAAAAAAAGAAAGGATAAAATAGGCTAGAAGTCATCTTCCCCTCTGTTAGATATGAGATTTGCAGAGGATGGAAAATAAGAACATGGAAATTTCATGCATTATAGTCCCATGGATTCTGTCTGTGAAAAACAGGCTGATGATCAAAAAAAGCAATTATGTCCCTATACTCAAGGTTAGGCCTGAGTTCCTTGGTCAAGTAGCTTACAGAATTAACCACAGATTTTGGTATGCACCTTGAAAAACCAAATTTGTGAAAGTAAATTAAATTACCCTATTATGTGTGAAGAAAAATACGTGGTTAGCTGACCACTTGTCTAAACTTTTTGTAGAGTAGAAATAAGATGAAAATCTGCTACATTGAAACCGCAAACAGCTGCCTGCAGCTCAAAAGGAGCTTACTGAAATATACTTGCCTTGCTTAAACTTTTATTAATTGTGATGGTACCAGCATTTAATCCCAGCATTTGGCAAGCAGAAGCCAGAGGATCTCTGCAAGTTCGAGGCCAGCCTGGTCTACACAGCCAGTTCTAGGACAGCCAGGGCTGTTACACAGAGAAATCCTGTCTTGAAAACACAGGAAAAAAAATTTATTAATCAGTAAGAAAGAAATCACTGCTTTGGGGTGAAGATGTTATGGTGGGGAAATTAATACACAGGAAAATATTTAAGTACTTATGGGCTTCTAAGGAAAACATGTAACTTGTGATCATAATGGGATTTCTCCTTGCATAAAGATTTTTTTGCTTGTTTGTTTTGGTTTTTCAAGACAGTTTCTCTGTGTAGCTTTGCGCCTTTCCTGGAACTCACTTTGTAGCCCAGGCTGGCCTCGAACTCACAGAGATCCGCCTGCCTCTGCCTCCCAAGTGCTGGGATTAAAGACATGCGCCACCACCGCCTGGCTCATATAAAGATTTTAATTGTTTTTGGAAAATATGTAACTTGTGGTTGTAAGGTGATTTCCTTCTTACATAAAAGCTTTTGTCTTGGATGGTATAAAGGGAATAAGAGAAAAATAAAGTATATAACAAGTAGCAGAATAAAAGGAAAAATTAAGCTTTGCCCCTCAGAAAAGGTCTGTGTGTGTGTGTGTGTGTGTGTGTGTGTGTGTGTGTGTGTGTGCCCTCTATGACTCCACATCTCTTTTCCAATTTCTTTAACCTGCCAAAAGCCGGATCTTTTGGCACCAGAGGACTTCAATTTCCAGCACTCACATGACGCTAACAACTTTCTGTAACTCCAATTGAAGATCTGAATCCCTCCTCTGGCCCTGTGGGCACTGCACACAAGTAGTGCACACACAGACACGCATACAGGCATACAGGCAAAAAACACCCATACACATAAAAGCAAATGAATAAAAAGGGAAAGATGTAGAAACAAAAGAAAAAAGAAAGAAAAGAAAAAGGAGAAGAAGAAAGAAAGATGAAGCTACCCTTTTCTGTGTGTTTCAGAAATGTCGGTGACTTAGAAAGCAGCATAGCTGCAAAAGACTACAGTAGGGGGTGGGAATTTGGGGAAGAAAAGGCAAAGTATCTCATTAAGGTGATTATTCTACCTATCTCTTTAGCATGGCTTAAGGTGAGCCCATGTTCCTAGAGTTGGTCTCTTGGCAAGGTGGTTGACTTTGCCCAACTGGAATATGAGGTGTCCATCCAGGCCAGGTATTATATTTTCTTGACCAGAAAGAGTTGTCCCTTAATGGGCCTTTGTTGTCACCCTAACACAAACATTTAAATGAAATGAGTTGTCATTAAAGTAAGACTAGTCATCATCAATTATTTTCTTCTAGTCACATTCAGTTTTATAGTAATGTAGGCAAAATAATAGAGAATTGAATTTTATGTTGGTTTTGTCCAATAAATACTGTAAGTGAAGGTGTATGCAAAATGGTGACTCTTACAATGGAGCACAAATCTAACTTAGCAAGAGACCAGTTGTGGCAGGCCTATGGATTTATAGGTACTGTGAGATACAGATTGTGAGAGACAAGACACTGGGGGTGAACTAGAAAGGTAGGACTTGTAGTTAAGTGGAATAGTTGAGCTTATGGAGAGGATACAGTTACAGTGACAGCTCCGGGATATTCTATGGGCATTGGTGGCATAGTAGAGTGGGCAAAGATAAGAAACTATGAGGCCAAGTATGTGAAGAAACAAAACAAAACAAAAACATTTCTATGACCTTTGAAGTCGGTGAGGACTAACATAAGAGGAGCATTGGTGGAAGTGAATGTCAGCCAGGAGCTAAACCCATCAAGGACTGAGGGAAGAAAGCAGGTGCTAAGAGGGAAGCCCCAAACCATGTGGGAGTGAGGAGCCTGCTCTGATAGCATTCGGTGTAAGGAAGTTGAGGAACTGAATCCACTTAACTGCACTATATCTTCTTCTTCCATTCTCTTTTGAGAATAACTTAAATTCTAAGTAAGTCTTACAGTACTCAATCCAAAGCACTGCCAGGACTGGTTCCATCTGAAAGCTCCAGAGGAGAATCTGTTTATTTCTTCTACCTTATAGAGACTGCTGGCATTTGCTCTCTGGAGGCAGTAACTCTGATCTCTGTTCTAAATATTCTCCATCTCTGATCTAGTACCTCCTTCTTATAAGGATCCTTGGGCTTGTCAAACCCATCTTGATAGTCAGGATTACCTCCCCATTTCAACATTCTTGGTTTAATTTAATCAGCAAAGTCTTTCTGCCATACAAAGTACCACAGGTTCTGGAAACAGAATGTGGACATTTTTGTTCACATGCTCTATCTTGTAATCTTTGAATTCTTAATCCTGTTTCCTAAACTTGGCCTTCTATATTTGTTATTTCAATAAGTACCACCATCCTCTCTAATTAGGGGGCTATTTCTTGATTTCTCCTTCCTTCCTTCCTCCCTCCCTCCCTTCCTTCTTTTTCTTCCTTTCCTTTCCTCATCATCATTATTAAGAAAGGAACTGAAATCCAGTGCAAAGCCTGTTAAATCCATTTCTGGGATCTTATTAATTGTTCACCTGTCATGAAATCTCACTTGGATGATGGCAAGGCCTGATCTTCCCCATTCATTACTGCATTACTTAATGTAAGCTGAAGAGCATTGACATTATATTTGTGAACAAAATCTTCTGAAAAGAAACTGCATCTGACTGTGAAAGAAAACTCCTGAAAGGTATCTGTGTTTGCAGAGACTGATTGGCTAATTATAATTTCAATATTGTAGAGGGATTGCAATGTTGAAGTCCAGAGGTTAATTACCTTATCTTGTTTTGTACTTCTGAAATAGCCATTCTTTGCCCCCTGTGTCAGAACTAACATTTGCAACAATAGATTAAACAAAACAAACAAACAAAAAACCCAAAGCAAGCAAGCAAACAATAACTAATCTTTTAGAATCTATTAACTTAGCAGGCAACTAGCTTCTACCAACCCAAAAGATAATAAGGGTGCCATCAGATAGCATCTTGAGCCTACGGGAAAGCACATTAATATACTCCCTTCTCTGATGTACTCACCAATGTATTTTAAACTTGATTTAAGACTTTCTCTGCTCTGTAAAACCATAAAAACTTTGTGGAACTGCTTCCACGTTGGGACATGGAATTGGGGGTAACCTAAATGATTGTTCCAGGGACATGCTCAATCAAAATGACTCCAGAATAAACTCTTATTCCCTTTAAGATGAGAATTGTGGGTTTTGCGTCCATATATGTATAAATTTTATATCTGGTTAGCTCATTGCTTTAATTTTTGTTTCTGTGGCAAGTTACATCTGAATTCATCACAAGGAGGTAAGTTCTTACTGTATACTACACAGGGCCTGCAACTGCTGGCTCACCCTTGATTAGGCTCCACCCTTTCGATTTCTGAAAGAAAAAAAAGGCGGGGAGGGGGGTTGCGGCAAGGCCGGGTTATATTCAACCCGCGTTCCCATAATGCTTTGTTTTCTTTGGAACCAAAGTTCATACGAAGAGAACATCCTGGAACTGACTTGCTAGGTTTTTAGTTCTGTGCCTGCATCCCTGAAGCGATCTCCCAGGAGAAATTCCACAGAAATCCCAGGAACAAGTCGTAAACAAGACCCCGCCCAACAAGGGGAAGCTGTGGTCAAAACCTTTATTCCGGAACTCGGCGCCATTTCCCGCACCCTGGGCGGGGTTGCCTTCTCTGCTCTGCGGTTCTACAGCGCTTGAAACCCGTGTGAAGAAAATGAAGGTTTCTCGGATCTCAGAGCTTCTGGGCACTGTGGGACGCCTTGTAGCTTTCTGCCGAGGCAGAGTCCAGCTGGCGGTCCTGCTGCTGTCCTTGGCGCCATCTACTTTAGGTGAGCCATAGGGAGGCGCGGGGAGGCAGGGATGTGCAGTGCACCAAAACCCATGGTAAATGGGCGCAGTGCAGACCCCAGCGCTGGTCTGGGTTCCCTTGGGGGTGCTCAGCGCTCCTTTCCCGTGGTTAAGTGCGGAACTCTCAACCCAGATTGTACTCAGCGGTTAGGAACGCTTGGTCTCCCACCTGCTGTCTGTACTGAGTGTAGAGCAAATTGTAGTGAAAGAAAGAGGTGTAGGGGGTCCCAGGGGAGGGGGGACTTTGTGTAAACCTGCGAGACGCAATTTCTAATCCTAGAATTTGGTTGTGAGAAAAGTAAATATGCCTGCGTGTTTCCTCATCTGTGAATGGAAATACTGAGGTCTTTCGTGATGTTGCTATTTAATTAGTGTCAAGTGTCTAACCCAAGTCCTGCTGCTTAATTTATTTCTATCCTGGAGCCGTTATTCATGCATTTGCTCTGAAGGCCTAGACAAACAAACCGAGGGACTGTATACTTTATTTTCTGCCCCCAAACCTCATCTACTCACTTGAGTTCCCACTTTAAGGAAGATACTCACATTCCCACCCTAGGTTAGGATTTGAAGGGCAAAGAAGTCCCAGGGTGCAACGAAATATTTGCAAGTAAAAGATTGTAGAACTTACATATTACACTTTAGTGATGGTTAAGCACAAAATAGAGTGTCCATTTTACCCCCTATGGAAGTTCTAAGTTCCCTTCCTTCCTCTTCAGTAAGAACTTTCTTACAGAAAGACTTCCCTTTCTGCATTGTTTAGACTCATTGACATTTGAAATGACAGTCTTGTGTTTTTGCTCAACTGGAGGTTTAAGCTTTTGCGCTAGACAGATTATTTATATTAACAGAACCTAATTTTCTGAGAGTAGAGAAAAAACAAAATTTCTGCAAAAAGTTGTGCTTAAATTTTTATCTTCCTAGGCACACATAGTAACTGGTCAGATGAAGATATATGATAAAATTCTATTTTTAGAAAAGAAGTATACCAAGAACGTTGGGAATCTCCTATAGTGCTTAGGGATTTTGTGACTTTGTCATCTTCTGGCTGAAATGTTGGGGCAGTTTTGCCAGTTATAAACAGGCATTATCATGTGCAAAGGAAACCAAGGTTATCACAGTAACCTTCAACTGTGACTCAAGCCATGGGTGCTTTAGTTAACAGAGTTGAAATGAAGAGAATACCACTAGAATGTTTCCATTGGCCACAGCACTTTGTAATTTAAACAAAGTATGGTGGAGAGCTTCACCTCAAAGGTATGTATACTCATAGAGAAATTGGTTCTGGATTTCCAGTCTCTGCTACTTACAGCTGAGGACCTCGAACCCAGCAAGTCAATTAACAAGTATCCACATGTGTGCCTCTGACAGCATTATCAAAATGTATAAAGCAAAAATGGGCAGACTTGTGGGCAGCAATAAATAAACCCATCTTAGAGCTGGAAGCTTCAATAACCCTCCACCAGAAATAGACAGATGTATCAGGCAGAAAAACAGTAAGGACACAGCAGAACTCAGCAACACCAGTATTACTCGCAAGTGTGGAATCCTCTCACAACAGTAGAATATACCTTTATCTCAGGCTCATACAGACCATTCGTTGAAATAAACCACATTCAAGGCAGTAAATATACATATAATAAATATACACATAAATGGCACAGTAGTTAAGTCTTACTAGTATACTGTTGGAGTTGGTGGACTCTGGCATGCCCTAAGATACTCCTGTAGGATCATTTCTGTTAACTCTGCTGCATGGAGAAGACAAAGAAAGGGAGTTAGAGTCTGTTTCCTGTACTTCGTAATGCATCTCAGTTTCTATATTCTCAGATGTGTGATTTATGGTTTATATTATCTAATGTTAGCCAAAATAACCTCACTTAGAAAAGCAACTTCCAAAATGTCTCGCACATCAGAAATACTCACTGAAGATGATTATGGTAAGAGTAATTCCAGGAAACAAGATTCCTGCACGGACTACCCCTTTATCTTGCCTAAGGATACACACATACCTAAGTTGTATGTGAAAGGCACTCAGAGGAAGAAATGCTGTCAGATAAAAACCATTATCGACAACAATCTAGAAAATATCAAGAATACTAGTTGAAATACAGCTTTATATACACTCCTATTAACAGAATCTGTGATAATATTTTGTCACTCAGTGTTAACTAATGATATTAAATCATTATGTCTATTTAAGTATTTAAAATTCTTATTCTAAGAGAGGTGATGGTGACGCACACCTTTCATCTCAGTCCTCAAAGGCTGAGATAGGGGGATCTCTATGAGTTTCGAGCCTGCCTGGTCTGCAGAGTGAGTTTCAGGACAGCCAGGGCTACACCGAGAAACCTCTTGAAAAAAACAAGATAATATTAGTAATACAATAATAGTAAAAATAATAATAATAAATAAAATAAAATCTTATTCCATTTGTATGGTATCCTTTTAAATGTCTATGCATACCACATTTATAAGTTTATTTTTTTTAAATTTTGAGATCTTTATTTTTACTGATAAAATTGGTTAAGCAAAATCTTCACAGAATCTCTTCACTGAAGAGTAAAGTATGTAGACCAGAATGTAGCTCAGGTTGACAACTCATACTCTCCAGCAAAGTCATGGAAGTGGTCATGAATTCATAGTCTTGATGACTCAGGATGAGTCAGTCAATGCCTTAAATGGACCATTTGAAAGGAGGTTATGTCATTCAGGACAAAAAAAATACAGTAAGATAACAATATTCATACATGAGAACAGTTAAAAGTAAGAAGGCTCACCATATCAATTGTTAGCAATAAGTAAAGTAGTTAAATTTGTTATGTGCTGTTTACTGGCAGATAAGACACTACTCTTGGAAAGTGGCTCAGCATTGTAGCAAAAAAATTCCTCTCATGTGACTTGGCATTTTACTCCCAGGTTTTTCCTTAAGAGAAATAAAAATCTGTGCCCAACAGACATCTACCTTAATTTTTATAGCTGAGTTTGTTTTGTTGTTTTTAGATTTTCTTTATTTTTATTTACCTATATTAGTGTGTATTAGTGTTTGCCTACATGTATGTCTGTGTACCATATGCATTCAGTGCCTACAGAGGCCAGAAGAAAGCATTGGATTTCCTGAGACTGGAGTCACAGAAGAATGTTAGCTGCCATGTGGGTGCTGGAAATTGAACCTGGGTCTTCTGGAAAACCAGAAAGAGCTCTTAACTGCTGAACCATCTCTCCAGCTCCTTCATCACTGCATTATTGGTTATAGGCAATAAGTGGAAACAACTAAAATGTCCTTCAGTTAAATTTTGACATATTTATTTATCTAACTGAATATTTATCAGCCATGAAATACATGTAACCAAGGTGAATCTCAAAGTAATTACACTTTGTAAAGCTAGACCATGAGAAAGCAAAGACTGACATTTGTATGATAATTACAAGTCATTCTAAAAAGTTAAGTCTTTGTACTTAGAAAACACAGGTTGGAAATACCCAGAGGAAGCAAACCGATGGATTATAAGGACAAAGGAACTTGGAGCATGAGGAAAATGCTTGTCTTTATTTCAGTAAGAGTTTCATCATGCATACATACATATATATCAAGTCATAAATTCACGTGCTTTAAATGCTCATCAACTCTATGCATTATGTCTTAATGGAGGCATAAAAATAACTTGAATGATGAAAGTTTTGACTTTATGATGTGCCTGTTAACGTACCTATCATAGAAAAAACCATAATTTGAGGGATTGGTAACAGGAGGCAAAGGAAACTAGATGACCTTTCTCTGTTGAAGGTTCATATGTACCTTTTCACTTGGTCTTTTATACAAATAAATATTGTTATTATTACGTATAGTATTTGAAATACAACTCCAATAAGTGTAGATAATTAAAAGAAAGAAACAACTCTCTAAGAATAGTTCCAGCAAATTTCTGTATTGCTTTAGAACTCTTTCCAGCCTCTCCCTGGAAGCTTTGCTATGATGATCAGCTTCTCTTGCCTTTTTATTTGTTTGTTTTACTTTTAACTGTACGCTGCACTTGGGATTGATTCCCTTGCCTGGGATATCACAGAGGTTTTTGTGGGAATTATTTTTTTTTTTCACTTAGTACATTTTTTGATTTGTTTTTCCTGTGATATAGTAGTTCTCAAAGTGATATAACTTTGAAATTTAAAAATATATGAACTCTAACCAAGACTCTGCAAATGAGGGCTCTTTGGGATATAGTCTGTCTGGACCCTTGATGGTACTTATTTTGCAGTATATCATTTATTTGCTCATGGCAGCAAAATACATCTACTGTTTGTAATTGGGTGCTAAGCTCTGGGCCAGGTATTTATTTAGAGGAACAAAGGATATTTGGTCTCTTACCTTCACATTATCTCTGATAGCCATTGAAAGAAATCCTATCAAAAGCATGCATATTTAAAAATCAGAAATTATAATAATATTATTGATATAATAGTAAAAAGGATAATGGGTAAAGTAAGAACAGGTGGTTTAATTTTCATATTTCTCAGGAGGTCAGGCAAGTGATATGTAAGCTGAGATGTGGAGGAAGAATGAAAACTAGAGAGAAATAAAAAGACCCCACCTAGGATGTGTTTAGAGATAGAGAGTGAATGCATGTCTGGAGGAAACAGAGATGTAGGAAGCTGGAGCCTTGTAGGAAGTCAAGTTGAAGGTGATGAAACATACATGTGAAAACACAGAACGGAACACCTATGGTTCAGTGGAGTGTGTGGGACAGCCAAAACCATTCTAATATTGGAGAAAAATTAGGAACATCAGCTTTTTTGAAGTAAATCTTCTACTTTAATATAAAATCCAGAGTTGGTCCCCATTCTAATAACTATTGTCAATAGGATAAAAAAATCAGCCTTAGGAATTCTTACGTCTGTTGATTTATGCTTAGGAACCATGATAAGAATTTATGAGATATAAACAATAAATCCCAGGCTGAATGTGGGATGTGTCATTCAGAATATCTCTGAAATCATCAGTTGCAGAGGTGTTCCAGGGCTTTCCTGACAAAATAGGCTCATTTCCTACAAATTTTGACAGAAAATAAACTCTTGGAAATAGTTACATATGCCCAATTTAGCTGCATACTGTAATCTGATACTATTTTCTCTTTTATATGAATAACAATTACAACTTACCAGCACCCCTCTGTGTGAGTGATACTAGTAAACGTTTTACATACATTTCCTTTGATACTCTTAGGAAGCCTACTAAGTAAATAATGTCATCTTCTTCAAGAAGATGAAGCAGAGACTCTGACATATTAAGCAGTTTGCCCACGACATCAAAGCAGGAAATGGAAGGATATTAGGTTCCAAAGTCCAGGTCTCTCTGAATCTATTATTTTCAATACTATGTCTTTCCAGTTTCATCTGATACCTAAACAAATTCCCTGAACTTTATGGTCTTAAACAAAAGAAATGTGTTCTTTTATAGTTAATTCTGGATTCCCAAGTCTGGATCACTATGTTGCTCTGTAGGCCACAGAGGAAAATGAGTTTCCTCACTCTTTCCAGCTTCCAGATGCTGCCTATATCTCATGGCTCATGGCTATTTCCTCTACTTCAAAGCTAGCAACTTTGCATATTCAAATATCCTTCCATCTTTGCAAACCTCTTACCAAAGGACTACTGTGAATACATTTAGTGTTAATCCAGAAAATCCAGGGTAATTGGCAGATCTTAAAAGGTTTAGTAATACCTACACAGCCACTTTATCATGAAATATCATGCTCACATACTCTAGGGATTAGAACATGGGTATCTTTGGGAAGTAGTTACTTAGTGTATTACTTTTCTAGCCACTATGACAAAATAACTAACATAAACAATTTAAAGGAGAATAAACTTATTATGTTTTCAGAGTGTTCAGTCCATGCTGGTTGTGAAGGCATGGCAAATGGAACCCCTCCATCTGCAGCAGTGGGAGACTATAGCAGGTGGCTTCTTGCTTGGTAGCAGAACAGGAAACAGAGCACTGGCCTGACCCCAAAGTAGATATATCATTGAAAGTCATGCCCTTACTGTCCCACACTTCCAGGTTGGCCCCATATCCCAAAGATTCCACCACCTCCCAATACAGCCCAAACCACTGCAATCCAAGAGTGACAGTGATGGACATTTACATCCAAACCATAGATAGCAGTTCAGCCACACAAGGGAGTCAATTGCCTTTAGCATCCAGCCTAGTAGCAAGTAACTGACATTCAGCAAACAGCATACATTATCAGTACTGAAGATGGTTAGCAGTGGTTTAAAATACACATCCTATTTAGATGTTTGATAGTAATAGAACAAAGGTTGGAAGTAGATGGAGTCAGCATTTCTGTGATTCTCGTTGGGGAAATTATATTGTTGTTAGTAGATGTTTATATATTGAGATCATGTTATTTTTGAAAGAAAAACAAAAGTGTAATAAAAGTAAGTAACAATAACAAATGTAATCACTAATCAAAACTAAAGAATAAAACCACTAAAGACAAAAACAGTAAGATGGTAGATTTAACCTTAATTTTATTAAATATTAATAATCAGTTCCTATTTAAAGAAGTTGTCATGTGACCAAATATCTGAAACTATGTGTTAAGGGAGCATGGGAGCCATGGCAGACTCACAGGAGTACTTTGAAAATGTTTGCTTTTCTGTTGCTATGATAAACACAGTAACCAAACACACTATGGGAGAAAAATAGGTTTATTTGGTTCACAGATTATAGTTCATCACTGAGGGAAGGATGCCCAGGCCAAAACTCAGGGATCTCAAGGGACTGGAAGCAGACATCACAAAGGAATGCTACTTACTAGCTTGTTCCCCTACAACACAGGTTCACCTGCCCAGGAACGGCATCACACACAGTGAGCTGGGCCCTCCTAAGTCAATCATTAATTAAGAAAATGTCCCCACAGGCATGTAAACAGGCCAGTCTTATAGAGGCAGTTTCTAAATTGAGGTTCCCTTTTCCCAGGTAATTCTAGTTTGTGTCAAGTTGAGAAAGACTCACTAGCATGGGAAGATTTTAAAATTGCAATGAAAACAACAATTCTTGATTTCTTTCAGTTACTGTATGCACTACAAGAACTAATCCAGAGTAGCTTCTGGCTCCAGAGATGGATTATAGTAGGCCAGAGTTTTGTAAACTTGGATTTTAGCAGTTGCTATGAAAAGAGTACCACATGAAAATTAATGTGGAGCAAAAAATGAAATGGGAGGTTTCAGTTTGAATCCAAGTTTTGAGACTTTACATAAGGCCTCAAAACTCTTTGCATAATTGTGATATGGACCTGTATTGTTTAAACATACTTATTTAATAAATGGAACTGTTATATATTCTTTTAGACTGTCATTAAAAATTGCTGAGACTCTAAAGACATTGTAGCCTAAGTTTGAAAAGTCTGTCATAATGACTCAACAGTAAAACAGTAATACAAACAAAAGGAATAAGACACATATTTCAAGACAGGGCAGGTGAATATAAAAGGATGGAAAACACCATGTCAAAACAAACCAATGTAAAGCTTGTTAAATGGCATTATGATAGTAGTGTCTTTTAATAAATATTATGTGTTTATATTTAAAATCATTGATACAGGGTAGGGGAGATAGCAGTTAAAGTACTTGTACAAGGTTGAGAACTCATGATCCCCAAAAACTCATGTTGATGCTGGGTGAGTGTGGCAGTCTCTGAAGGTATACAAAGGGGATCACCAGAGTAATTGGCCAGCAAGACTAGGCACATCAACAAGGTCTGAGTTTCATTGAAAGACCCTGCTTCAATGAGAAAATTGGAAGAGTTGATAGAGGATGATTTTCAGCAGCATCTCAGGCTTCCATGTGCACACACACACACACACACACACACGTATATGATCATGCAACCACACAATGCAAAATCATGAATATTTGTATTCACACCAAGTACAGAAACACATTACACACACACACATACACACACACACACACATACACACACACACACACACACACACAATCAAATTAGAGATATTTTATTATCATAAAGGTTAATCTTTCATGAAATATATGTTTAAATTTGCATGTTCTAATCATACAGTATAAAAAGGTAGGGAGAATGAAAAGAAATCAACAAGTATATAATCAAATAGAATATTTGAACATGACTTTTTAGCAACTAATAGAACAAGCAGACCCACGAAAATGAGGAAATATATAAAATAATTTTAAACTAGCATACATACTAAAGCTGACCATATGCAAAATAAGATGCAATCATTTTAAAAAATAGCTAGAAGTACGTTGCTCAAATTTTTTGTATGCCTTAATCCACCCCTTGTACTTGAGTTAATTAATTGAGAGTATGAGAAGGAAAAGAAATCATAACAAAAATGTAATATTTCTGAAGTTAAATTAAGGTGATTTTTTTCCCAACAGATAATTATTGATTACTTTGACACTAACTGGTAATTAAGTTAATTCTGCTAAGCCTTAAGGGAAGATAACAGTGTCTAGAAGTGAAATAAAAACATGTATCAGAAAATACATTCAGAAAATGAAATACAGTTTCAGTTTTTGAATGAATACTGAATAAATCTGAAAAAAAATGTTCTTAAAGCAGAGACTTTAATCATAGATGCTAAGTAAAGTTATTTTAAAAGCTTATTATAAAAATAACCATTAAAGAAATCATTCCTTTTACTACTATTATTATTTTCCTTCTTTGATCACATCTATGAAATATATTGGAGAGAAAGAAAAGGTGGACTAGAAGTTCTTCTGTTAAAAGTAATGTTGCTGTGGTCTCATTCTCCAGGCCAGTGCACAGACCCACCATGGTTTTCATTTGCCAGCCGTATAAATAAAACTGATGAATCCAGTTTTCCCATTGAAACATCTTTGATGTATGAATGCCGCCCAGGATATTTCAAGAGGCAGTTCTCCATCATCTGCCAACAAAACTCAGACTGGACAAGTGCTGAAGATATGTGTATTCGTGAGTAACTGCAGAGGAATGTAGCTAGAGTTTTCCTGCCTGGCCCATAGTCAAGACAAATCTCTCACACCCGCCAGTCCCACAGCCGCTCAGACCCAACCAAGTAAACACAGAGGCTTATATTGCTTACAAACTGTATGGCCGTGGCAGGCTTCTTGCTAACTGTTCTTACAGCTTAAATTAATCCATTTCCATAAATCTATACCTTGCCACGTTGCTCATGGCTTACCAGCATCTTCACATGCTGCTTGTCATGGCGGTGGCTGGCAGTCTTTCCCCTCGCCTTCCTGTTCTCTTCTTTCTCCTCTCTGTTAGTCCCGCCTATACTTCCTGCCTGGCCAATGGCCAATCAGTGTTTTATTTATTGACCAATCAGAGCAATTTGACATACAGACCATCCCACAGCAGAGGAAGCTGACAAACCGTAGATACTTTGTGACAAATAGTAGAGTCTGCTTCAGTTTGTCTGGATTTTAAAATTATGACACATGCCATTAATAATATTATCTAAGGTGTATGGTACATTGAATCATTCTTGTAGGTCATATCTTTTTACTTTGTGCTTCTGTCTTCTCAATTGTTAATAAATTTAATAATAATGACCATCACCAGGCATGATTGAGGGAAAATATCCTCAGGATATTTCACTTAGTGTGTCCAACTTTGAACAAGTGTCACTAAGTAATTAGTGATTCTGAAGCAAAGAAAAGTGTATTTAAAACTAAGAGATGAAAAAATCCTAGACTCTGAGGTCTGTGAATTGGAACATTCAGAAGAATGCTTTGGTAATAAATGAAGTAAACATGTTTTGGGGAGTCATCATGTGAAAATAAGAAGGAACTTGGATGGGAGTTCTTTTGGAAAATAGGGTCTGATTAAGTTTCCTCAAAGTGGCAAAAATCTGTGAAATATTACAATTATGTATGCTCTCTAGAGTAAGTTACAATCAGGTTAGAACTTCATAAACTAAGGAAAGTTTAGTTTACTTTACTTGGTTCCAAAATTCTGTTTCTTTCTCACAGGTAAATCATGTGAAACTCCTAAAGATCCTCAGAATGGCATAGTACATGTACACACAGACATTCGGTTTGGATCCAGTATTAATTATACTTGTAATCCAGGGTGAGTTGGCAACAACATCTCTTCATTCAAGACTTCTGGAACAGTAGTACTACCTTCTCAGCAGGTCTCAGGAAAGACATCTAATCTGTTACCTCCTGATTTGGTTTTTGGTTGTGTTTTGATTTGTTTTGTGCTAGAGGTTGTACTCAAGTCTTTAAACATGCTAGGTAAGTGCTCTACAGTGAATCCACACCATCAGAATGTTGCCTAGCCTTACAAGGTTTGAGTGTAAGTGCTTAATTCTTGATTGAAATGTACAAAAATTTTACATGATTAGGTTGGAAAGATATGTTATCCCTGCCGAATAATCAAGACAGCACATGTTTTCAGCTTTCCATTATTATAACAAAATAATTGAGCTAATTAAAAGGAGGAAGGTATGTTTTAATTCATAGTTAAAGAAATCTCAGTTCATGTTCACTTGACTCTCTTGATTTGGTCTATGGTGGCATGGTCCATTACAGCAGTAACATGGTAAACATGGTAAACCATTCACCTTATGGTTGACACAAAGAAAAGAAAGGCAAAAAGAGGATAAGGTCTCAGTATCCTCTCCAAAGGCATACAGCTGGTGAGCTAACTTTGTCCCTTAAGGCTCACCTCTTAAAGATTTCACCACATCCCAATAAGATTATAGCCTGGGAGACTAAGCCTTTTATCTAGGAGCCTTATGGGGGTGTTCCTAACTATGGCAACATAAATAGAAAGTGAGGCACTCACTGGGTGAGATGGTGCAGTCTAATCACACAGACTTCTGAAATCCTGCATGAATGTTTCTAGAAGAGAAGCCTAGGGAGCTCTGAGTAAGAACAGGTCTTAAATTCACAGCTTTTATTAGTTTGCTAAGGTTGCTAAATGACTACCAGTGTGTTTTTAAATGAGAGAAATTGTTAGAGTTCTGTTCTGAGTCTGGAAGTCCAAAATAAGGTGTTGGCAGGATGCTGCTCCCTCTGATGTCTTTAGGTGAGGGAACTTCCTTATCTCTTCCAGCTTCTGGAAGCTCTAGGCCTTCCTAGGTTTGTAGAACACAACTCTAATTTCTGTCTATCTATATCACTGCTTATTCTCTGTGTCTGTTTCTATTTGTTGTTCTGTGTGTATTTATATTCAATGTTCTCTCTTTTTTATAGTGATACCATTTATTTGGATTAAGAACCATTCTAAAGACCCTAAATTTAACTTGATTATATTTGCAAAGGCACTGTTTCAAAATACTGTCACATTGACAGGAATAGGAGTTTATAGGATCAGAATATCACTTAGGGAACACAATTTAACCACAGAAATTACTCTTTGAACATGTCTGGCATGAAGTCCTACCAAGTATGGTGTTGCTGATGTTAGCACTCCTCATTATTCAACACAGAGTAAGAGTATTGCCTTAACCTTATTCCGAATGTTAAATCTGTGTTCTTAATAAGAGTCAAATAAAAGTGATATTTAGGGATTCAAAAATTTTAAAACATATGCTTTTCAAAGAACACTTTTGAGACAACACAAATAGAAAAAATATTTCTAAAGCATAGAATTTATAAAGATTTATCTGTGATAAATCTTTGTTCCAAATCTGTGTTCTTAATAAGCGTCAAATAAAAATGCTATTTAGGGATTCAAAAATTTTAAAACATGCTTTTCAAAGAACACTTTTGAGACAACACAAATAGAAAAAAATATTTCTAAAGCATAGAATTTATAAAGATTTTTCCATAATATATGAGGGTTTTTTTTTTTTTTTTTTTTTTTTGGTTTTTGAGACAGGGTTTCTCTGTGTAGCTTTGTGCCTTTCCTGAAACTCGCTCTGTAGCCCAGGCTGGCCTCGAACTCACAGAGATCCGCCTGCCTCTGCTTCTGGAGTGCTGGGATTAAAGGCATGTGCCACTACCGCCCGGCTGAGTTCTTATAACTCCAGTGAAAGGACAAATAATTTTAAAATAGGCAAAGGAGGGCCTGAAGAGATGACCCAATTGTTTAGTGTATAGTCAGTTCCTAGCATCTCATCTGGCTGTTCTCCATTGAACTGACTGATACACGCTCAGGCCTTCACTGGAACTGCATGTACACACACAAAACCACATGTACACATAATTATAAAAAACAAATAAATCTGTGGATTCAAGGCCAGTCTGGTTTGAATAGTGAGTTCCAAGCCAGCTAGGTGTACATAATGAGACCCTCTCTCAAAACAAAACAAAGCATAAAACAAGCAAAGGATTAAACATTTCTCGAAAGAAAATGCACAAATGGACTATACGAAAAATATATTTACTCCATATGGTCATCAGAATGTAACTTATAACCATGTTGCGATACTGTCTCACCTATGAAAATATTTCTAAAGGGAAGACAGTAGGAAGAGTTGACAAAATTGCAAAGAAATGGAAGTTCCCATACATTTCTGAAGTAGACAACAGACCAATATGTCTGAAGACTCTAACAACAAACCAATTTATAGATCCCATTAGAGTATTGTGACCCACTGAAACCACTTAGTGCTGCCTATTCACAGGGTATAAGACCATCTACTGAAGCATAGGTAATTTATCGGGGACTACCTCCTTGAAGAAAATTTACTCTCCTTCCCACAGCAGCCATCAATTGCCAACAGCTCCTCAGCTAGGTTTGGGACTTCATGAGCTCCTTCCCCATCCATGCTGGGATTTTGGCAGGCTTGATCTTGTGCAGGTCTTATGCACACAGTCACAGCTGCTGTGAGTTCATGTGTGCAGTGTCCCTGTCATGGCCAGAAAACACTGTTCTTTAGCAGTCAACTACTATCTCTGGCTCTTAGAATCCTTTTGCCCTTCTTTCTATGCTGATCCCTGAGCCTCGGGTGTAGAATATATGTTCTAGGTGTCCTTTTTAAAGCTGACCACCCTATACTTCCTTATTCTCTGGACATTGTCCAGTGGAATCTATGGGTGTAAAGATAAGACCTTAGAATGCAGTTTATTACTGTGATTATTTGGCAAAAGAATACTATTAGAGTCTCCTCTAGGGCATGAACTAGCCAACCTCTGATGTTTGGTACAGGTAACAGTACCAGGTATGAATTCCTATGTGTAGCAGGCCTTAGATCCAATCAGTGGTATTATTTTTAATATTTGTGTCAGTATTGCATGACCAGGCATATCTTGCCATTCCAGTGATTATTGTTGCTTGCAGAGTTTATAGTTGGGTAAGACAGTTGATGACTTTTTACACATAGTAGGGTACCTAGAACATTCAAGTACTGTGAAAGCCAGCCAATAGGGATGAAGCTTCCAGGTTTCTTCATGTTCTGTGACTCAAGTGTGTGGTTACTTCAGCAATAGGGTCTTACCAACAAGTCCTGAAAAGTCACCAAGAGCAATGGTAATAGCCTGTTATGTTTGAGGGGGCATCTATGGGACTCCACTGATTGACAACTCAAGAAGAGGCAGCCTATACCTGATATTGTGGGCTTTTTATTTAATATACTGTGGTATCTGTAAGAGGCTTGTCACCAGGTAATATGGTAATGCCATTTAAGCTTCTTTTATATACATATGTATTTTAAGAAACTTCTATAGTAGTAGGTTTCTATATGACTTTTTCAAAGGTCTTTAGTGTAATTATGTTGGTTAGTTTTTGTCAGCCTTACACAAACTAGAGACACCTGGGAAGAAGGAATCTCAGTTGAGGAATTGCCTCCATTAGACCTACCTGTGGACATGTGTGTAGGGTATTGTCTTGCTTGATGGTTGATGTGGAGGGTCCAGCCCACTATGGATGGTGCCATCCCTGGGCAGGTAGTCCTTAATTTTATAGGAAAGTTGACTGAGTATGAACAAGAGAGTGAGCCAGTACACAGCACTCCTCTGTGGTCTCTGCTTTCCTGACTGCAGGTCCTGTGTAGCTAGAGTTTTCCTGCCTGGCCCACAGTCAGGACAAATCTCTCTCACCTCCCAGTCCCACAGCTACTCAGACCTGACCAAGTAAGCACAGAGACTTATATTGGTTACAAACTGTATGGCCGTGGCAGGCTTCTTGCTAACTGTTCTTACAGCTTAAATTAATCCATTTCTATAAATCTATACCTTGCCACGTGGCTCGTGGCTTACTGGCATCTTCACATGCTGTTTGTCATACAGACCATCCCACAGCAGTCCTGGTTGGGTCCCTACCCTGGCTTCTCTCAGTGCTGGGCTGTGACATGAAAGTGTAAGCCAATTAAACCCTTTCTTTCACCTTAGTTGCTTTTGATCAGCGTTCTATCACAGCAGTGGAGACACAGACTAGGATAATTATCCCTCCCTACAGTCTTTCCTCTACCCTACCTTCTCATTCTCCACCCTATTTAACCCTTCCTCTTTCATTATTCCCCCTTCTTCCTTTACACCACCTTAGTTAAGATGCCATCAGCTTCAAATTATTATTACTATAAGGTCTTTTTGTCAGCTTTGAAGTAATCACAAGGATTACTTGTAGTAAATATACAAAGATAAAGTTACCAAACATAACCAGTACCAGTGGATCATCAAATTACAAAGGAAGAAAACAAGTGAGAAACAATGGAAACAAACTGGAAATCAATCAGAAAACAAAATTAATACATGCCATTCCTTACCTATCAATAATTTGCTTGAAAAGAAAATTAGTTATATGCTCTATTAAAAAAAAACCCAGTGGCTGAATAAATACAACAATAAGCAACTTCCTACAAAAACTTAAGATATAGCTTTAAAGACACATAATATGAAAGCAAATGAAGGGAAATGATACTCCGTGAAAATGTCAAGTGGAATAAATCTGGGTGATCATTAATTATTAGACAAACTAAGTGAAAAACTATCACAATAGGCAATATCATGGAGGTATAACTTTTTCTTGGATGAAGTAAAGAAACAGCTAGCTATTCACACAGGTAAAGAGGGCAATGACAGATCAAAGAAAAGATTCTATTCAAGTACAGCTTGATGAATCAATGTATTTATCAGTATTACTTGCAGGAGAATGATTGTCACAAAGGCAACTTCATTGCC